CCACAATACCACTGCTGTCATCAGCAACACAGGTAAACGACGAAGGCACAAGAACTATCACTCGTCCACCGTTGTTTTCAAGAAAACACAGGTGGACGATAAAGGCACAACAAATCCCTCGCGGAAGGGAAGATGGTTGATGATCGACACTAATATGCACTTGTAGGATCAGTTTGACCCCCAGGCAAATCACAACGGAGCACCCTCGGAACACATCCGCGTCTCCTCCGCCAGGAACACGTACCACATTCTACGGAAAACGTTAGGCAAAAAAAATACGCTCACGACCACCAGACGAGATCCTTGCGTCCCACCACCCCGTACTTCTGGGGGTTCCGTTAAGCATCTCCGGCCCTAGCGTGCCTCACAGGGCTATTGAAGCATGCCCGGCACATCAATACACCCCGGTCCCCTGCCTGTTTGCCAACACAAAGCTCCGCGCAGGCCATCCATCCTTTCCATGTCTTCCTCTTGCATCCGGGGTGCATGCACNCATCCGGGGTGCATGCATTTGCGTTGAGTCTTCACCGAAATGCTCCCCCACACTTTGTCCGGGGCACCCGTCACCGCCGCCGGTCTCCCCCCCTTGTTTGGTCTACCAACATTGCACCTCGCCATGAGCTCCGTCGACAACATTTCGTCCCAGACCGCCCTCTCCATCTTGGCCAACCTGCCCAGTTCGACCAACACCCTATCCAACTTTTCCCACCACCTCAAGCTCTAGGCCTCCTCCCTTGATCCTCTTGTTGGCCGGATCCTCCAAGAGGAACACGTACTTTTTGAACATCACCAAAACGTTGGTGAACGTCTGCTCAGACTTGCCCTCCATCACTCGTCGCCAGTGGTTCGTGTACGACTTGTGGTCATGGGTGTGGGACCCATTCTGCTGGTCAGCCGTGTCTCTCCCATCGTGTTGACAACATAATCCTTGCGCATCCACGGCTGCTGTAGCTCCAAGCTTTTCCCAGCCTGATCAGCTTTGCGCAGATTGAACATGAACGGATGGGGACGGGATGGCAGGGGACAGACGAAGCACCTGGGTTAGGCAACACACTTTCCACAGCAGGAACCACGCACTGGAAAGAGGGCGTCAGTCCCTGTCAATAAAACAATACACAAGCCCCGAGTACCTTCCCGACCGGTGGAAGCAACGTGTGTGATGAACCGAATCGAAAGGCACCAACGCGAACCGTTGCATGTTGTCAAGCACGACATCGATCACTCCATCACACGACGAACCAGTTTGACCGACGGCTACACGAGCGAGACATCCGACATCAAAACACAGCGATCAACATGAATCTAGGGAACAACATGAATCTAGGGAACAACGAAAATGAAAGGTCACCTGTACGGTAGAGGTGCGAAGTGGTTGTCGCCGCCGTCGTCGTCCTCCTTCTTGGGCTCCCCGATGGCGGCGCGAGGTTGGGCGATGTGGATGGAGCTGCACAGAATGATTTCCTTCGAGTCTAGCCACTGCACGAATGCGACACTGCCGGCGCGGGCAAAGTGCATCTCTCCCCTTTCGACGGGGCGGCGATCGAGGCTCTGCAAGCAAGGCACGGCACCATCCGTTCGATTTGACCGGCACGTACCCACCGCGAAGATGTCGTGGCTCGCGAGACACTCGAATAGGGTCGGGCTTGTGAAGTAGTTGTCTATTGCGATGTGCACGCCAGAGCCGTCGATCTTGTCACCGAACTTCTTGCAGGCGCCGAGTAGGACATGTAGGACGGCGCGAGTGGTCCGCCCCAGTGGGCAGTCGAACCAAACCCTCAGCTTCGGGTCCCCGTTCATTCCACCGTCGACGCTGCTGACGAACCAATACCCCTCGTTGTCGTAGATCGCAAACAGCTTCATTCCTGGGTTTTCAACAACATGAGCAGAGAAGGACGATGGAACTAATTGTCAAGGCGGCGCGCCAATAGCGCACGCGTGAATTGAGCGTTTCCACTCAATGAGAGGATGCAAGCTCGATCGTCTTTCGGACAGATATCGACGAGACGGTTCCAGTGGCCCCCTTGTTGGGCAACGCAATTGATTTCGCCGTGGAACAAACGGGCGTTGAAAACCGGCCCAACGGGCGTGACACGTCATGTAACCTACGGAATATTCGCCACACGCACGCAGCGAGGGCATCGTGGGTGGCCCAGTTACAGGCATCATGGGCGGCCTTGAGTTCCCCGGCGAATATTGTGTTGTGATATCAACCCCCCCCCTCCAGGAAAACAAGCAGATGCAGAGGTCGTACTTGAGACCTATGCATCCCCGAGGGGATGCCGCAATGTTCCGCTAAAAATGGCATCACTGGGACGGAACATGCAATCTGAATGCCACTGAATGGACACGTTGCGAGTGTGGACGATGGAGTGCGAGCTTTACTGCTGAGNCATCACCCCCCCCCCCCCCTGAGATAAACAAAACAAGCAGATGCAGAGGTACTTGAGACCCATGCATCCCCGAGGGGATGCCGCAACGTTCTGCTAAAAATGGAATCACTTGGACCAAACATGCAATTCCCCATTTTTGTGGACTATAGAGCAATTGTGAGAAACAACAACAACAACAACAACAACAAACTATAACTATCCACCGAGTCCTCCCAACGGATGTCCGGCACAACAACCGGATCAGACTCGCTAGGAATAGCCTATACAACACCATACACGAAACCCGTACCGTGGTTGATGGGCTTCTTGGGGCTGTGTCTCATGAAGTAGTGCGCGAACGTCGACACGGTTATCACCATCTGCTCATCGTAGCACAGCCACTGGTTGCAGTCCATGTTTTCTGTCCATGCGTTGTTCAAGATGTCCAGCTCTCTGCCGGTGAAGCGACGTCAAGACAGAAATTTGCAGGGAGGTGTGCGTTAGTTACAATGGTATGAAAAATGTGTGGGACATCAATGGACATGCGAACGTACACCCTGTGAACTACACACTAACCAAGCGAATCCGTTGCTATGATAGTCCCAACCGTACGATGGTGCCAGCCTCCAGTATTCGACGCGGGGGGCGGATGGCGGAGGACAATGATATCTACTGTTTGTTGCACGACATGCTGAACCCTTTTGGGTCTGGGAGCTACGCTACTCGCCGGTCTCCCAGTCTCAGGTTCCGTTTCGACACTTTGTTTTTCACCACACAAAAGACAAAGGGGGGAGAGAGTGCGGGAGAGAGGGAGAAGTGCAGGAATTAAGGCAAGTGTACTTTTGTAGACGCCACAACTACCTCCACCTATTCGCTACTAGGGTAGCCCGCGACAGGGCAGTGGCATCTCGTAGGGTCACCCAAGGGTTCTTGCGTCGCGGTGCGGCTGGCCTCCAACTCTCTTTTCAGTATTTCTAACCCTAAGGCCCAACCCATAAACTTGACGTTTGTACTTCTCTGTCAACCGCGAGTGTAAGCCACGCCGACTCTCTAGAGTTCGTCCTTTTCCCATGAACACACTACCACAGCTCGAAAAACTTGCCAATACTCGAAGTGGAGGAATAGAGACGTCGGCAACTCCACGACTTGCTACCATACCAGCTGTTGCAAAAAAATCAATCAAATTACAGTCAGAAGGCCTGAAGTCCAACGAGGATTTGAACTAACCTGATGTGCCACCTTCGAATCGAACTCTGGGTTCGGGGTCTTGTCCTCGCCCGTCCAACGAGGAGGAGCGTTGCCGTCCGAGCACTGGATGAAACGGCAGTACAACAGCTCGAACAAGTCGCGCGACATGCACTCCGTCACTAAAGGATAGTCGTCGTGTAGCGACCTACTCCAGTGCCTCCTCATGCGCGTTTTCTTCGTGAGCCCCATCGTGATCGTGATGCCAAGCATACCGTAGCTGTGCTTCCGCTCGAATGCGGGTTCGGGCAGCGCGACCATGCCGACAGTTCTCGTCTTCTTCACCTCAAGCGCTTTCCACGTGTCCTTCGCTCCCGGGAGTGGTGGCGTGGTGCAAAGGTTCACGTACTTGTTGGTCTGCGAATAGATCACGTTTCGCGCGGAAGAGGACAGGGACAACAACNGCGTTTTCTTCGTGAGCCCCATCGTGATCGTGATGCCAAGCATACCGTAGCTGTGCTTCCGCTCGAATGCGGGTTCGGGCAGCGCGACCATGCCGACAGTTCTCGTCTTCTTCACCTCAAGCGCTTTCCACGTGTCCTTCGCTCCCGGGAGTGGTGGCGTGGTGCAAAGGTTCACGTACTTGTTGGTCTGCGAATAGATCACGTTTCGCGCGGAAGAGGACAGGGACAACAACACGAAGGAACGAAACGATCAGCATGGCATTCGCACTAGAGGTCGCGCCGACGCGCCGAATATACACGAGAAGGTGTTGTCACTGGCCCAAGCCGTGGCAGACCAACATGTCCAATTCACCTTCGCTTCATCTGCATACTCTGTCCGCAGGCGTCTTGGAACGTCAATAACATTGAAAGGGCGCACAACAAACTATCTTGTTGCACACCTACGTCGTACCCCTTTTCAACATTTTTTTTTTTTGCAAAGGCGTATGTACCACTGTTCAATGGGGGCCGCGCGTGGGAGGTGGGGAGCTGATTTGGTAAGGTAGTCCTAACGCGAGCTTCCATCATCTCTTGCAAACCACAAGCATGATACACAACTGACTGGAGCTCTTCACTCGCTCCATGTACGCATCGCCACCGGCAATACCTGCGTGCTTGAATAAATTATACGATTGGATCTACTTTCGGGCAGTGTGACCAATGCTCACCTTGTCAACAAAAAGATCAACCGCCTCGTTCGGGAACATCATGTCGAAGCACTTCATCATCAACCCATGTAACGGGAACTTGCCGGACTCGTCGAGGCTGTCCATGAATGTACGGAGAGAGGGCAGTTTCTCGGGCGCGGACGCCGACAGCGAGGCAGCGCTGACCGTCTCCCGCTGGGTTCTTTTGTTGTGGTCGTCTGTCCCCGCAAAATCAGGAATGCCGTGGTCCGTCCACACGACGTCCTCGTCCTCCTCGTCCTCGTCCTCGTCCTCCTGCTTCTGCTGCTGCTGCTCCTCTAGCTCCTCCCTCTCCCGCCGCTCCTCCTCCTCCACCTCCTCGCGTGGTCGATGCTGTTTTTATTTTTCCTCTCATCCGCCTTCTTGAACCTCGCCTTCTCCTCGTCGGCGATCTTCTCGAGCTGTGTTGAATACGTCATTGACAAACAGCGTCGACAGCGGGTTCAACGCGGTAGGTGTGTCAATTTACCCCCCGGAGTGTTGTGTCCAATGAGCAAAGAAGGAATGACGCACGACGCTACCGTGTCACCAACACCGACGAAACCAAGGAGCGACGGGTAACAACATAGGCCGGCAGGGTAGGCAGGTCACGCACGTGCATTTACATACTACCTCTGAACTCAATGTTCGTCGCCCGCTGCTATCAATGTAAACCACACCCGTGCTGAACAACAGCAGCCTAGCACGGAGGCGTCAACCTCACCAATGCTAACGATCATGCAAGCAACCAGGGAGGTGTCAACTAACCAACGCGTAAAGATACTATTTCTTCGAGGCAAGCGACAACACGAGCCGAACGGAAGTGCATGCCTTGATACGCGTTTGTTCATTGTGGATAGGGTACTCGCCGTATGGTATCCCAAGCGAAAATAAAACAAAACTGTGGAAGTAGTATTTAGCGATGCGCACTCATTTTTTTACTCTCAAGTTTTCACTACCATTCTCTCTAACGTCTTCTTTTTGATCCGCCTGTTCGTGCGGACAATGCTAACAGAAGAGCCTACCCGAACACAAACATACCTTCATACCCAGCGCCCTCCTCTTGTTGGTCAGCCAGAACGCCCGCTTGTAACCCCGCTCCGGAATCTTCATGGCCGTGACCAGCTTCTTCTGGTTCTGCGACATGGTAGCGAAGGCGCCCGGGGTTTGCTTGTGGTCTATGTCCCCCCCCCCGATGCTGCCGTCGGAATCATAGTTGGCATAGTCGTCTTTGCCGTTGGCCTTCGAGGATTTCCTCCCACCGGTTGGTGTAGTTTTGCCATTTTTTTGGCACCTCTCCCATCCCCTGGTGCAACCCCCGCCGTGCGCTTCCCTGGCGCAACCCCCGCTTTCCGCTTCCCCGGCGCAACCACCGCCTCGCGCTTCTTCCCTGGCGCAACCCCTGCCTTGTGCTTCCCTGATGCATCCCTGCCCTTGAGCTTCTTGCTCTCCGCTGTCTGCACCGCGGTAGGTCGATTCACCACGACCTTGGGTCCGATCTTCCCCTTCGTTTTCTTTCGCGCTCCAGCCTTTCCCCCCTCCTTCCCGCTGCTGCTGCTACTGCTGTTGCTGCCGCTGGGGAGCGGTCCCATGCTGAACTCGGGATGGTCCTCCTCTTCTCCGCCCACCATTGAGGACCCTCCCGCCTCCCCGCCTGATGTGCGAATCGCTGGCGGCATCAACGTCACCGTGCCTAGTTGCAGCTTCGCTGATGCAACGACTTCGACGAAGGAAGCAACTGCATCGTGTCCAAGCTGCAGACGGTCGAAGTGGTTGAGGTTATGGTTTTGATTACGCGCTAGCCATAGATTCGCGTTCTCTCGATAGAGTAGATGCACCCAGTGATATCCTTTCTCGTCCATTTTGTCTTCTTTCTCGAACAAGAACATGCCTGCCGTGTTGTTTCCTGAGTACGCCTGGACTGTGCCATGCTTAAACGCTTGGCTTCCACACCATGATGTTCACCCCGTACTCCGAGGCCAGGAAGGACATCCAGGTAACGTCAACCCACTTCTCCGCACTTTGCCAGGCTAGATCGCAAAAACACCTAACCGTCTTATCCTCTGCGGCCATCCCGTGTTCGACATCCCCTAAAACATGCGGTACCTTCACACTCAAGGCCCGCCCAAGGTGGTCCTTTGAGAGTACCGCTGTCGAGTCCTCAGCGACATCGGGTGCGCCGATAACATTTTCCATGGCTCTACGGGCAACCGCTGCCCGCATTTGCTGCTCGTTGGGAGTCCTCGCTCTACCCAGGCAAATTTGCAGACCCGCACGCCGCGCGTTCCACCCGCATTTGCCATCCCCTTCTACAGTATGCGCACCAGCTCCAGCCAAGGGGGTGATAACCCTCCCACCTCGTGTCAATGTTGTGCTGCACTTCAAGCTGAGCGCCTGAGGCCCACCGATGTGCTCCTGTACCCTCCGGCCCAAAGCACTCGGTGGGGGAGCTAGCTCCTGTCTCTTGTCAACTCGCAACACACCTTGGTGGTACGAGTTCGAATCCACAGCAGGGGTGTTCATAGAGCTCGTGCGAAAAATCGCTTGAAGCAAGAGAAAAAACGACCTCATTATCGCGTTTCTGCGTACTGGATTGCGGTCTCTCTTGCACAGCGCGGGTCGGGTGCTCGGCAACGTTGCAACTCCCAAGCTATTTTTTTGTGTAGGGGACGCTACTGTTGCTGTCCCCGTCGTTATTTAGTTCCTTTTCGATGGTCTACTCGTCCAGTCCAGCCCTCGTCGACGCAGGTATCCACAGCTCAATTCGGGCTCAACTCGGTTCGATAAATGTCGCATAAAAGAGTCATCGAAGCTGGGAACGGAGCTCATTCGTGGGAGTAGTCACAAAAGGGTTAAACTGTCAAAAAGGCTTCTTACAAAAACACGAGCGTTTGTATGATATTACGATCACCCCCTGTAATACATTCGTGTGCATAAACCATCCAGGTTTCCTCCGCACATGAACTATATCCCGCTCATGAATGGGTACAACCCGTCATCGAGCTTTAGAATTTGAGCGTACTCGCAATGAATAATTCCCAACGTGTCACAGACATATGCTTCATATGCGTTGCAACGCCCAAAACCCATATTTTGCCGCAAATGCAATTGTCGAGCGATGTCAAGCTAGATACGATGTCTCCAACCCACTACACTGTTTTTTGGTGCAGAACACCTGCACCCCTCTCACTCAATTGCATTCTGCGAATGGTCTGTCCTTGAAGCACTTTGGACAATTAGTGACGCCCTTTCTCATCGCTTGATTTTTGCACCTTTTGAAACATCAACCCGATTACCGCCAAGTTATCCTCACGTATCCCTCAGATTTGGAATCGTTTGAATTTTGCAGGCCACGCTCCCCGCACATTTTCATAGATGGACAGACCCAAGGAACCAGCGCCAAAACAACCCTCAATTCCCGCGTACCGCGTACAAGTCAACTTCTAAGCGATGACAGACTACTGCTGTGTGCCCGCAATTTAGAGAGGTCTGTGGTGACGAGTACAGCACTGCAAGAAGTTTGCGGTCGGTACAGATTGCGGAGTTTTAGTTCCGAAGCTAAACCTCTAATGCTGCGTACTGCTGTGCGGCTCTCGATAACTCTCCCATGCAAAAGATGTAAGCATGTGAACACACATCACACCCTTTTTCAGGTTCTCTTCTACTTGTACCACCCGCGAAGGGACAGGAGTGACATAATGTGGCGCGTACATCAGTGGACGATGTTTGGATATGTTCACACTGCGGAGTTCCGTGTTTTTATTCTGGTTCTCACGTTGTACCGACAGCAGAAGCATTTCCCATCGCCGCACACCGAAAACCGGTCGAACCAGCATACCGAAGCACCAGGGGAGTGCTGTGAGTACTCTCCACTCTGTATGGTCTGCCGCTGGTGCAAGATGCGAGCTGGGTGTGGGTCCCAACGCGTTTCGGTTTACACGTGCACGCCGGATACCGGTGAAAAAAAAAAATCTCTCCGATTCAATTTCCAAGTAGTGGACCGAAACGCCGTTTCAATCTGTGTATGTATAGTACTATTAATAGGGGGAACGATTGGCCCCCCGCCCCCCAAAAGGGCGAGCGGCCACCATGCGTGGTAAGGCTGCCGGGCTTTGCGAGTAGATGTATTGGATGAAAGCCGAAAACAATGGGGTTGTGGTTTCATATTTGGTTGCTCACGGGAGGAAACAACGCGTCGTGTAGGGCCATGATATGGCGGCTTCGCGGTAATTGATCGCGCAATGGTCGATAGATCTAGGCATCGAATTGCTGACGAGACACATACATGAATGCGTCGGTACCGAAAAAGCACCTTGGCGGTACCCACGGAGACGACGCCATTGGCAAGTAAGGGGGAGGCAAGAGTAATCGAACCAAAGAGAGGCGAATCCCGAATGGCCTTTAGACTCGGCGCTCGCAGCAAATACTGATGACGAGGGTTGTACAGAATCGCCCACTTTTCGTTAATTGATTTCTGCAGGAAGGAGACACACGTACACAGCGTTGAGGGATCATACGGCAATGTTGCCAAGGTGTTTACCTGAAACAATACCTCAGCATTCGTAAGAATATCGGTTCCACCATATCTAGTAGTTCAAAGGGCGCCGCGTGGCGGTGGCGACTGCAGCGTTCCGGCTATGGACGCGTATCGTGGCAGGGTAGATGAATTGATTGTTGTGAACCAACAGGATGGTATTCTGTGTTTCATTTATGCAAATGATGTTTGAATGCTGTTGGACCGGAAGATCATGATGATGTTTGGTTGTTATGATGTACGAATATGCTCGTCATATCCGCCGTTGCCGTGGATCACAAGACACACGTGGGACAACCAGCTTGACAGGGTGCTCATGTGTAGACACAAGGAGTCGCGATATTTGCGTGTACAGCTGTGGTGACGTCTGTAGAATGTTGTTGTTGATGTTGCACGATGCATGTTGCTTTAGCATGTATACTACGTCGGCAGAAGCGCATGTGGTATGTAGAACGTTCCAAGGAAGCCGGATGCAATGTTTCAACGCCGGACCGGAGCCGGAAGGTTGGTGGGAAGAGACATCCACACGCGTTCTTTGTTCTACAGCAAGTAGCAGTGGTCCGCGTCTCTCTGCAAAGGATTTTGGTGTTGCAGGTGACACAAATAAGTCGAATCAATGCAGAGAAACAGGTGGAACGGCCGAGCATTGGGATGTGGTAATACAGTTTGAAACAGGACCATGACCGTTGGAAAACACCAGCAAGGTCGTCACGTGATCAATCGATTTCACATGGGATTGCAACCCGACGTTGCTGCTAGCGTTCGTACTATTGCCTGGAACAGCTGAGTTCTTCAACGGGTACCGCCTCAATAGACGGACGAGCAATTTCTTCGCAGATTCACGTGTGGCACCTCGCGTGGGATCGCGTGGCGAAGAAAAACTCTCATCCACGTGGGCCCACCCTAAAATCAAGTCTAATGTGGTGCAACATCCTGTGAGTACATATATAGCATGATGATGTGAGAAACAAAAAAAAACAAAAAAAAACAAATTGGATATTCACGGTGGAGGGGGCGGGAGCTACTGCTGTTGTCGTGGGTACGTTCGGGCGCGTTGTCGCATACAGTACCGTAGACGACACAAGATAACACACCCACATAAGAAACCACACACCCTACAGAATACGACACCCCGGTGATAATTTTGGGCGTTTCTGACAAACCATCGATCTATCACCGGGGCTACAAAAGATAACACACCCCTTTGAGGCTACGCCGCAAGCTCCTCCGTCCATCACCGGGGTGATACAACATCTGCCGCTTGGGCATGTGGGTATCTCGCACACACAACATCTGCGGAACTCTCTTTTGGTAGTATCCAATAGCAAGGTATGCAGGAGCCTACTTTTTTGTGTGGCGGGGCAGGACGGATGGCGCATTCTGTGGCCACCGAGTCATGTGCTCAGTCAGGAGTTTCGTCACCTCCGTTGACCTCCTTTGATTTGTCACATTCCTCAGAACCACAAGCCATGAAGTGTTTGTACAGGCATTGCAATCACACCCCCGCAATACCAACCAAGTGTGCGCAGCAGCGGTTCAACTCTACAACATGTGTTATGACACCTTTTCCTCGCACACCCTGATTATCACACCCCCAACACACCCTGTCGGTCTTCGGACGTGCTAGTACACCCCCCTTCCCCCCTCATTTATCACAACCAAAGTACACCCTGTGCGTGTTCGGACGTGCTATCACACCCCCTGGTTTAGCACACGCCCCCCCCGGTGTTTGCCATCGGGGTTGGGATTTCGTCGCTTGGCAACGACGTTGTAAAACAAGCCGCCCCTCCCGGTGTTTGCCATCGGGATTGGGTTTTCGTCGCTTGGCAAAGACGTTGTAAAACAAGCCAATTCACTTCGTGAACTCGGCAACCAGGTTATCGTTTTTTTTTTTTTACCTCCGTTTTTTTTTTTGGCGGTAACCATAATGGTGGTCGAGTAGATCATGTTGTGCGGGGTGGAGAACCCTCACTCCGCGCAAGGGGGATGATCGCACCACGTTGTGTTAAAATGGTCAAGCACCCTCGAGGCAGTTACACAGTGCTTACAACTGTCTCTGGAAGTGAAAGCACCAGAAAATAAATTAATTCATACGCAGCTGTCATCCGTACGCAAGGAAGTAAGCACAAGATGCCGAACACCCTTAGCAGGATGCAGCGCACCCTTCATGCGACTCGCCGAATATCTCACGGCGCTTCGCGCTTGGTGATGTGAGAGCCTGGTCCGGTGAGAACCCGGCGTGCTCCGTCACGGCTTTGTAGGGATGCGAGGTCAATGGTCTAACGACAACGGCATGCACGACTATGAGTACACCTCCTTAAGGGCCCGACCGAACTGCACTTTATCACCCGGGCTATATAAGATACCACACCCCCCACAGGATACCACACCCGATGAAAAACATTTTTCAAGCCCAAAATGTTATCACCGGGGTTTGTTATCTTGTGTCGTCTACGGTAGGTACGTGCATCGCACACAGCTTAGTACAGTTACGACGAGCTCCAACCGATTCCGCGGGCTCCGAATGCAATCAAGGCCCTAGTAAAGGGCAAACTCAAACGAGGTGGGGAGTCCACCAGCTTGGTGACTACCCTTTTGGTTTTGTCGCGGTAATTGTTATGGAATTGCTTGTCCAAGACCCTATCAACGGCAATCTAATTGTGTATTTCGTGTCTTTCGTATCTTTCCGTATCTATCTGGGGAAAGTGCGGGAAAGTAGTCTAGCCTAGTCTAGATTCCTGAGTAGCCCATAATTCCTACATGTGAAAGGACTTAGTCCAAGTCTATTAGTCTAAGTCTAATTGTTCCTCTCGCCATAGCGGCCTTGCGCCCCCTCTCGATCAATCTTTCCCCTGCTCGGATCAGCTAGTCAGCTGGTTCTCGGATACTTCAAACAAGTGAGTCTTCAACAACATCGGGTCTTCAAGAGATTGTCGTTGCGTTAATCTATTTATAACAGAATACCACAAAGAGTGCTTCACATCCCAAATTTCAAATCATTTCTCGTCTACCTAGCTGCACCCCGACCCATCCACATCGTAGGGCGGAGGGGCGAAAGCTGTGACATAGCTTTTTCTCTGAAGAGGCCACGCAAACGAGGCAAGGCGGAAGCACGCTGGAACCCACCACACCCCAACGCGAGCCGCCGAAGGATGAGAGATACCAAG